CTGATGGAACTCCTCCCCGAAGCTTTGCTGGATCGAAGCCCGGGGAGCGTCATCGAGCTGAACGTGTGCCAAGAACTCGGAGGTGCCGGAGTAACGGTGCTTGGATCGGTTGGACCGTGAAGATGTACGACTACATCAACCACGTTGTGCTAACGCTTCCGTTGTCGATCTACAAGGGTACGTAGATCACACTCTCTCCTCTCGTTGATATGCATCACCATGATCTTGCGTGTGCGTAGGAATTTTTTTAAAATTACTACGAAACCCTACAATCCCACCCAAGGCTTGAACAGTGTAAGCCACTAACCCCAGAGACAACGAATGCGTAGTGCTGATGCAAACTTTTTCAAATTCAGGATGCCAAGGCCACCATGAAGTTTTGACTTGCACACTTGCTCCCAATTAATCTTGCATTTTTCTCCAGTGACTTTGTCACATCCAGATCACAAGAATGCCCGTCGGAGAGCATCAATCTTGTTCATCACCTCAACCGGGAGGTTAAGTGCCGTCATATAGTAGATGGCAATGGTCGTAAGCACAGACTTGACCAACACTACACGTCCCGGAGAGGCAACGTGTTTACCCATCCATGGTGCCAGTTGGGCTGCGATCTTGTCTTCGAGCGGTTGATAGTTGATTCTTTTCAAATTCTTGACCGAGAGAGGTAGGCCCAAATACTTCATCAGGAATGAGGTATGGCTGGCCGGGAAAGAGTGTAAGATATCCACCAGATCCAGATTCTCACAACGAATAGGAGCAACCAAGCTTTTGGCACAGTTCGTGACCAAGACAGTGACATCCCTAAAACTCTTAAGAGTGCAGACAAAGAACTCAACATCTGACTTGATGGGGGCAAGGAAAACAGCTGCATCGTCCGCGTAGAGGGAGGCCCGAATTGACATAGCCTGACCACCGAGAGGGTGTAGTTTTCCTTGGGCGGTGGCCTTCTGGAGGATTAGGTGTAGTTGCCCCTTCTTGTCCCGGACGAGGCTGCCCGTGAACCAGTGCCCGTGCCCTGCTGGTGATGTCGACGAGGGAGGAAATTATTATTTATTTCAAGCTATTTCAGATCTTTCTTAATCTTTAAAAGGAACTAAATTCGTAATGGAATGGTAGGATTAGGAAAAAGGAAGCGTGGAAAAAATGACTACAAGATATTGGAACATTAATTTGAAACAGATGATAGAAGCAGGAGTTCATTTTGGTCATGGTATTAAGAAATGGAATCCTTAAATGGCCCCTTACATTTCGGCAAAGCAGGGTACTTATATTATAAATCTCGCTAAAACGGCTCGTTTTTTATCAAAAGCTTGTGATTCCCTCCTGCTCCCCAAGCGCGGGCGCCGGGGCGTGGCTGAGCGCTGTGGTTATGAACGACAGCCTTACCATGCTCTGCCAACGCCCATAACCAGAGCGTCGTGTCCAGAGCTTCATGCCCGCTTCACAACGGGGGCACAACACAAATCACTTTGGGAGTGGATATGGTGTGTGGCAAGGCAATCAATCATACTCCCTCCAAGAGGTGCCATGTTGATATATGGCGCGACCTATACTCCCACAGACAGGTTTCAGTTTTCAATTTCATCAGACCACGACATTTTTTCGGTAAAAATCAGCTACAACCTACAAATCGGCTAGCTGTAGAGAGCCACAGAGATGGTCGAAAAAGCAGGATTCAGAGGGAGGGCAAGCACCTGGCAACTTCGATTTCTGCCATGCCTTTTCTAGATGTAGATTTCTCATGGGCCGCACATGCCTATTCATGAAGCCGTCGATCAACCGACGACAAACACAGCTAAATTACATGAGATCCGCCGAAGACACACATCTATAAATGTATGACGATGCTAGACGCACCGCTAGGATGGAAGCTAAGCGAGAACTATCTTATTTCATCTTCAGGGAGTTGTCCCCCCCTCGTCTTTCTGAATAGGACACAAACCCTAATGAAGTTTAAAAACACTTGAACGGAGCCCTCCCACCAGGAAGAGTCGGTATCCACCACGTCCCAAGGCCCTAAGGACACAAGAGACGAGGCGGATCAGTGACGGTGCTGAAGGCCAGTACTTGTAACCAATATAATATGAACATAGTAGTGTGTATACTTCAAGACTGGTATCGACATATAGAAATGATGATAAACTACATGCAACTGGTTTTGTGGGGTTGTCAAAATTGTTGCTTGCCGCACGTGCATTCACATCTTGCTCGTTCATTCTTGCATCATTTAAAAGGTCATTTGCATTATCTTCTTGGTTAGACCCGAGTGTAGCACTTCCATTTTTTCTATAGGCATGTACCATCAAATATCCAATTTCTTTTCTTGTTGAAAAACGGAAAATTACACATGTTATTTTCTTTTGGGTTTCATCTTCATAAAAATGACCGAGTTTTCACGTAGGTTCACCAAGTCTATCGCAACCCTCCTCCTTTACCCCGACTTGGGACCGGCTATGTTGAGACAACATAGGCGGAGTTAAAAAAAATATATACAAATGTAAAACAATGTTTGGTAGGTTCAAGATAGTATTTATTTTCATTAAAATACATATCACGACATTTTAAATAAATATTGGCGTGTTTCCAAAAAATGCGCGTGATTTTTTCTAAAATGTTTATACAATGTAAAAAATGTTCATGTAGTCTAGAAAAAAAGTATTTTTTGCCATTTTAGAAAATGTACAACGTGTATTTAAAAAAATGTTACCATGCATTCAAAAAAGTGTCCAAAAACATGTATTTAACAAAACGTACATCATATGTTTGAAAATGTCTAAAGTGTATTAAAAAATATTTCACGTGTGCGCTAAGCATGTGCAGTGTGTACTGGCAAAAATTAGACATGTGTTCTAAACAGGAAACTGGTTAAAACCGACGAAGAAATAAAAAAGAAAAGCAAAGTAACCACGGAATACGAAGAAAACCAAGAAAGAAAGAAAAAGAACCAAAAGTATAGCAAAGAAAGAAGAAAACCAAGAAAACCATTGGAAAAACCAATGAAAACAAAGTATAACGAAGGAAAAAAAATAATGAAAACCGAGGAAACCGGTGAGAAACAAATGAAAAAGCATAGGAAAAACCAGAGAAAACGAAAAAAGAAAAAGAAAATCCGGAGCGTGCGAGCGAGCGACTCGCTGATGGGCCGGCCCGATTCGGTCTCCCCGCGGCGACTCGGAATCGGGTCCGGGAGAGAGTCCACATAGCCCGCCCTGGCGGTCAGTTCAGTCCAGTTCGCATCGACGGAATCGAGCGCTAGGGTTCGCCGCCGCCGGACCCGTCCTCGCCGTCGCCGCCGCCGGACGCCGCCGCCCCTCTTCCTCCTATTCTCTGTTGGGAAAGGGGAAGGCCCAGAACAATGGCATCCTGCGCGACGGCGCCGCCGGCGGGGAAGCGGCCGGCGACGGGCGGGAGGGAGGGCGACCAGATGGTGATCACCCCGCTCGGCGCCGGCAGCGAGGTCGGCCGCTCCTGCGTCCACATGACGTTCAAGGGCCGCACGGTCCTCGTAAGCACCCCCTCCCCCTCTCCCCCAAACCCTACCTTCCTCCTCTGTTCTGTTCGGGGAATCTGACTTGCTCACCGCTGGTCCAGTTCGACTGCGGCATCCACCCGGCTTACTCTGGCATGGCGGCTCTCCCATACTTCGACGAGATCGACCCCTCCGCCATCGACGTCCTCCTCGTCACCCAGTAAGTTTCCAACTAGTCGCCCTCTCTTGACCCCCACCTTCTCCTGGCGTTCATTCTGATTAATTTTCCGCCTTCAATTTGTGCTGCAGCTTCCACCTGGACCACGCCGCCTCGCTCCCCTACTTCCTGGAGAAGGTAAGCAAAAATGCTAGGCTGCTTGCTGATTTATATTGCAACCGCCGATGTTATTGCCGTTTCGTGTCTGATTTGCTATGCTCTGCTCTGCCCTGTTTTGCAGACGACGTTCAAGGGCCGCGTGTTCATGACCCACGCCACCAAGGCCATCTACAGGCTGCTGCTCTCCGATTACGTCAAGGTCAGCAAGGTGTCTGTGGAAGATATGCTGTTCGACGAACAGGATATCATCCGCTCCATGGACAAAATCGAGGTACCTTCCTTTCGCTTATCTCTGTCTTTCTGGCAGATGTGAATCGAATGAATGCGAATGGCTTAATCCCTGTTGTTTGATACGATGTATTTGTTGCTTATTAGATGATGATAGATAGTGACTGGCCGGTAGAGAAATTGGTTGTACATTTTTTGAGTAGAGGAAAAAGAAAAGGAAGAAGAGTGATCCAATCAGAAACAGAGAACGATAGTACTGTGTCATTTAAGAAGCTGGACTTGTTGCCTATATGCCTGGTTGATATTTTAAACTGAAATTCCTGGTTTTTTCCTGTGCCAAGTGCCTATATTGCCTAAGTACACGCCTTCGCACATTTAAGTGCATGGTTGGTAGGTTAGGTGTTCCGCTATCGCCTAGTGCCTAGACACGCTTAAATTCATGACGAGCAGTGCTTAAGGCTAGGTGTTCTGCCATCGCCTAGCGCCTAGGCACGCTTAAGTGCATGCCTAGCAGCGTTTTTTTATCATTGATTCTGACTAATCAAACATTTTAAATGTCATTGGACTATTGGTTAAAATTACAAATCTTATAGTATCTGGCCATTTCTTTCCAAATACCAGTTTTTTTTTGGTTCCAGCTAATGCATAATTCTGCCTGTGAGGATTTTGAAGTCTTAATTTACCAGCTAAATTCCTATGCCTCTGTCCTATCTTGCCCAAGCACACACATAGCAGTGCTTAAGGCTAGGTGTTCTGCTATCACTTAGTACCTAGGCATGCTTATGTTTTTCATCATTGAATCTGAATAGGCCAAACATTTAAATGTCGTTGGACTGTTGGTTAAAATTAAGAACTCTAATACCTGGCTGTTTCTTTCAAAATACCAGGATTTTACAGATAATGCATGATTCCAACTGAAGTCTTAATTTACAGGGAGAATTGACAATGCGTTAACATATATTTGTCATGCAGGTCATAGACTTCCACCAGACATTGGAAGTAAATGGCATACGCTTCTGGTGCTATACTGCTGGCCATGTACTTGGTGCTGCCATGTTCATGGTGGATATTGCCGGTGTTCGCATTCTTTACACTGGTGACTACTCCCGTGAAGAAGACCGTCACCTCAAAGCTGCTGAGATACCCCAGTTCTCCCCTGATATTTGCATTATCGAGTCAACTTACGGTGTGCAGCAACACCAACCCCGCCATGTCAGAGAGAAGCGCTTCACTGATGCCATCCACAACACAGTTTCTCAAGGGGGCCGTGTTCTTATCCCAGCATTCGCTCTTGGTAGAGCACAGGAACTGCTGCTTATCCTGGATGAGTATTGGTCTAACCACCCAGAGCTCCATAAGATTCCAATCTATTATGCCTCCCCTCTTGCGAAGAAGTGCATGGCTGTGTACCAGACATACATAAACTCCATGAATGAAAGGATAAGGAATCAGTTTGCACAGTCCAATCCCTTCCATTTCAAGCATATTGACCCTTTGAATAGCATAGACAACTTCCATGATGTGGGTCCGTCAGTGGTGATGGCAAGTCCAGGTAGCCTCCAAAGCGGCCTCTCCAGGCAGCTCTTTGACAAGTGGTGCACAGATAAGAAGAACACATGTGTTATTCCAGGTTATGCTGTGGAAGGCTCGCTTGCAAAGACCATCATCAACGAACCGAGAGAAGTGACGCTAGCAAACGGGCTCACTGCTCCTCTTAATATGCAGATCTTCTACATCTCCTTCTCAGCTCATGCTGATTTTCCACAGACAAGCGGCTTCTTGGAAGAGCTTCGCCCACCCAACATTATACTTGTACACGGAGAAGCAAATGAGATGGGTAGGCTTAAGCAGAAACTTATCACCCAGTTTGATGGGACAAACACAAAAATTGTGTCTCCCAAGAACTGCCAATCAGTAGAGATGTACTTTAGTTCTGAGAAAATGGCCAAGACAATTGGCAGACTGGCAGAGAAGGTACCGGAAGTGGGAGACACGGTCAGTGGCTTGCTTGTGAAGAAGGGCTTCACATACCAGATTATGGCCCCTGAGGACCTCCGTGTGTACACTCAGCTGTCTACTGCCAACATTACTCAGCGGATAGCTGTCCCGTATTCTGGTTCTTTTGAGGTGATCAAGTACAGACTGAAGCAAATATACGAGAGCGTGGAATCATCAGCTGAAGAAGATGTTCCAACACTGACTGTTCACGAGAGGGTGGCCATCCGCCTGGATTCAGAGAGGTACGTGACGCTGCAGTGGTCGTCTGATCCCATAAGCGACATGGTGTCTGACTCGGTGGTGGCCATGATCTTGAACATTGGCCGTGAGGGTCCGAAGGTTGTTCCGATCGAAGAAGCGGTGAAGACGGAAGAAGAAACAGAGAAGGTGGCGCGTAAGGTGGTGTATTCTCTGATGGTATCGCTCTTCGGCGACGTTAAAGTTGCAGAGGAAGGGAAGCTTGTTATAACTGTGGATGGAGACGTCGCGCACTTGGATGGCAGGAGCGGTGATGTCGAGTGCGAGAACGCTGGGCTGAAAGAACGGATCAAGACCGCGTTCCGGCGCATACAGGGTGCGGTGAGACCGATCCCGCTTTCGGCCTCCTGAGCTGAAGCCATGAGACTGCCTTTAACTTTTCCTAGGGCTCATGATTAAACAAAGCACTAGCAGGCTGTGTTACTGTTGTTACGCGGCCGTTCTAATCTTGAGCGAAATGTAATTCTACTGCCTGTTGTGCTTTACTGGATGATCAGTAGTCCCTAGAAGTTATCTGAAGAATCCTCTCACTTGCACTAAATTTGAGCTGCTGTGCTTTGCTAGATGATCAGGTAGGCCCGTTTTACTGCCTCTGGAACATGATCGAGTTGTAGCATTGTGGACAATTTGTAGAAGATATTTGAACAATCCTCTGATTTGCACTAAATTTGAGCTGATGGAGCTGCTCTGTTTGTTTAAACTTGCGTGTGTGTCGATCATCAGTTTGAGTTTCTGATGTTGGTGTTCTTGTATCTATGCACATCCTGTCGAGTGAGTCTTCTTTGGTGGAGTGTGTCGGCCTCCTGAGCTGAAGCCATGAGAATGCCTTTTAACTTTTCCTAGGGCTCGTGATTGAACAAAGCACTAGCAGGCTGTGTTACGTGTTGTTCCACCAAAAAGCTCCAGATTTGTTCCGTCCCCTCTCAATCCCCAGCAGCAGGTGTGTGATCTAAGCATCTCAGGTGGTTCCCCGTCAGAGTGTTAGAGCACACATTTAGGCGCGGTGAAGAAATCTCAAACTCACAGACACAGAAAAGAAAAGCATCAAGATAGGGAAGAAACAGTCTTGGTCCCTGGAGGTGATTAAGCTTCAGGCTGTGGGTAATCTCTTGTCTGAAAGACCAGCAAAAGCAGAGTATTTATGAAGAGCGTTAAGTGCTGCTTGCTGTCCTTTCTCTAGAGTGGAATGCAAGGGTCTGGGTAGAAATCGCTTCCTGTTTCAGTTTCATGATGATGTGAGCAAGAACAAAGCAATGAGAGGTGGGCCCTGGATGTTTAACATAGCAAAGATTTACTTGTGATGGAAGATTTTGTGCCAAGCAAAACTATAGGTGACTATGAATTTAAGTCGATTCCTATATGGGTGAGAGCATATGGCATACCAATGGGAATGATGAGCACAGAAAAAAAAACAGGGGAACTAGTGTGGGTGATCAAATTGGTGAATTTTTGGATGTTGATTTGGACGATAATGGAAGTGCAATGGGAGTATTATTTATGTGAATCAAAGTGAAGATGGACATAACAGTTCCTATTATTGTTAAACAACCGAATATGTATCTCGTATAGGATAGGGTAGGAGGTTAGAATCTGCACAACTTGTAGCGCAGGCCTATGTATTTTGTTACCATCTGTGACGATCGCTTGTACCTATCCATCATGTACTCTGGTGTATAAATAGAGATCAAAGGCCACCCGATTGAGGTGTGCCCAACTGCAAACCTTTTGTTTTAACATGGTATCACACCTCCCTCTTCCCATCTACTCCCTCCGTTCCTAAATATTTGTCTTTCTAGACATTTCACATGACTACTACATACGGAACGGAGGGAGTAGATGACGACGTTCCCCAGCCAAACCTCGTCCACCATAGCAGCCGCCATCACGACACTCACCACCGGTGCGCTCAGCACCCAGTCCATCGGCGTCATGGCCTCATCTTCCCATGCCTCGCCATCCCTCACCGGCCTCGTCACGGTGAAGCTCTCCCACGACACCCATCTCCTCTGGAAGGCTCAAATCCTCCCAGCGCTCCGCGGTGCCCACTGGATGGCCATCGCAGATGGATCCGAGCCGGCTCCTGACAAGGTCATCGCCGGTGAGGAAGGGGCGCCGCCGGTACCCAACCCGGAGTACATCTCGTGGGTGACACGGGATCAGCACTGCCTCAGCTTTCTCCTCTCCACGCTCTCCACAACACGCTTCTGCAGGTACTGTTTTTACCGTCTTCTGCAGCCGTGTGGAGTGCTCTGGAGCGGACGTTCACGACCCGTTCCAGGGCGCATGTGATGCAGCTTCGTCGCCAACTTGCTACGGTCCAGAAGCGCGACATGAGCATGATGGATTACTTCACCAAGGTCAAAGGGCTCACGGATGCCCTTGCAGCCGCCGGCAAGCAGCTGGATGAGGAGGACATCGTCATCTACCTCCTCACCGGCCTCGGCTCGAGCTACGACCCGCTGGTGACCTCGGTCACCACGAGGGCCGACGCGATCTCCCTCAACGATCTCTACTCCCACATGCTCGACTTCGAGATTCGTCATCAGCATCACGATCATGTGCTCCAGCTGCCCGGCTCAGGCGGCTCCTCAGTGAACAACGTCAGCCGCAACTCCGGCGGCGGCAACGGCGGTGGCGGCGATGGCAAGCGCGGCCGCAACTCGGGTGGAAACCGCAACCGCAACGGCGTCGGTGGAAATCACCGCATGTGCGGCTCGACCGGCCGCAACCACAACTGCGGCGACCCAAATCACAACCACACCAATTCCTGCAACAGCGGCGGCGGAGGCCGCAATGGTGGTAAGAACGCTGACGTGTTTTGCCAGCTCTGCAAGCGCCACGGCCATGATGTCTTCGACTGCTACAAGCGCTTCGACCACTCCTTCGTCCGTAAGGAGCGCTCCGCCAACAATGCCTCCACCGGCCAAGGCTTCGATCCGGCGTGGTACCTGGACTCTGGGGCCACGGACCACATCACCGGAGACCTAGACAAGCTCACGATGCATGAGAGGTACACCGCCAAGGATCAAGTCCACACAGAGAACGGATCAGGTATGCCAATTTCCCATGTTGGTTCATCTCAGATTCGTACGTCTATAGACCTCTGCTCCTTCGCAATATTCTTCATGTCCCTCAAGCAACCAGGAGCTTGCTATCTACCGATAGACTATCTAATGACAACAATGTTTGTGTTGAAATTCACCCTACATATTTTCTTGCTAAGGATCGGGCTTCGAGGAAGGTTCTTCTTCGAGGGGGCACTGATGGAGGCCTCTATCCTGTCACCGGTAGTCATGGCAGGACACAACAAGCTCTCTCCGCTGTCAAGCAAACCCACACATGATGGCATTACTGTCTAGGCCATCCAGCTTCTCCGGTGGTAGATCAAGCCCTTCATCGCCAAAATTTAGAGTTTCTTCGCGAGTCCAATAAAAATAAAATCCCTGTTTGTGATGCATGTCAACAGGGAAATAGTCATCAGCTTCCGTTTCGTCCAATAAATCTTCCTCCAAACCTCTTGAACTTGTCTTCTCTGATGTATGGGGGCCTGCGTGCACCTCCTCTGGGGGTTTCAAATACTATGTTAACTTTATTGATGATTTCAGTAAATTTACGTGGATTTATTGTCTTAAGTCTCGAGCTGATGTTTATCGCACTTTCCTTGAGTTTCAAGTTCATGTTGAACGCCTACTAAATGAAAAAAAATCCTCTGCATGCAAACAGATTGGGGGGTGGGGGTGAGTATGAAAAACTCAACTCCTTTTTTTCGTCAACTTGGCATCGAACATCACGTTTCATGCCCTCACATTCATCAACAGAATGGCTCTGCCGAGAGAAAACATCGCCATGTGGTTGATGTTGGCCTAACACTACTAGCACATGCGTCTATGCCATTTCGTTTTTGGGACGAGGCTTTTCTCACTGCTTGTTTTCTAATCAACCGCATCCCTTCTCGTAACATTAAAAACACTACACCCATTGAGCGATTGTTTGGAAAGCAACCTGACTACAATTTTTTGCGCACGTTTGGGTGTGCATGTTGGCCTTGCCTACTCCCATACAACTAACGCAAACTTCAATTCTGCTCAAAATGGTGCGTTTTCCTTGGCTACAACGTGATGCACAAAGGCTACCGGTGCCTCCATGTCTCTACTGACCGTATCTATATCTCCCGCGATGTGATATTTGATGAAAATCTTTTCCCTTTTCTGTTGATACACCAAGAAAATCTCCCGATCAATTGCATGATGAAATTCTTGTGTTCTCCCCTGAATCTATGGGACGTAGGAATTTACATGCGCCAACAGAAGAAACGGGCAATACCGTGTCTATTCCCGATCAATACTGTATCTCATGTGCAGGAAGTCCTCGCCGCAGAAAATCCCGGATCACCTGCCACTCCGAATCCCGTGGACGATCTGGCCGGCGCTGATCCCGGCGTGGATTCGCCCATCGCCAGTCCTTGTGCGCCTGCCGATCCCGGAGTGGATTCGGTCCCTGCCGCCCGTGTGCGTGGCCTGCCAGCCACCGCTGGCGCCTGCACTACGGGCCTGCATGCCGCGCCACCCGCGGCCTCCTCTGTAGACTGTAGCCGACCACGGTGGGCCCTGCGATTAGCCCACCCACGAAGCGGCCTCTCGCGTGGAGCCACCTGTTCCTGGTGGGAGCTCCTATTGAACGCGCTTTGCGTCAAAATGTCGTCGCCGCGCACAGGGGCGCAGCCTGACTGGGCCGGCCCATCGTGCTGTACCGGTGGTAAGAAAAGAAAGCAAAAAGGGGGAAGGGAAATGCAATGGAAACTCGAACTTGCGACCTACAGATTCGAAGCACATGCTCCCAGCCACTCCACCTGACTAGCATTCCTTGTACTAGCAAACAAACTTAATAACTTAGTACACAGGAACATATTCTGTACAAAAAAAGTGTATATTTTTTGTACACAATGTTCTGAATCTTGAAGACAAATTTGAAGCACAAACATTTTTTGAATCTTCATAACAAATTTAGAAATGGAGAACAAATTTGGAAGCGCGAACAATTTTTAAAGCACGAACATTTTTTGAATCTTGAGAACAAATTTTGATAACTCCCGAACAAATTTGGAAGCGCGAACAATTTTTTAAAGCACAAACATTTTTTTTAAACTCGAGATTTTTTTTGAAATAGAGAACAATTTTTAAAAATCCCGAACAAATTTGGAAGCATGATTTTTTTTGGAAAATGTGAACAAAATTGGAAGTCCGAACAATTTTTTAAAGCACGAACATTTTTTGAATCTTGAAAACATATTTTGAAACGGAGAGAAATATTTAAAAATCCCGAACAAATTTGGAAGCGCGAACATTTTTTGA